ATTATCAGAAAATAGCATGGTTTACTCAAATCATATTTGTGTGTAATTTCCCCTGAAATATGTAGCAATATGAATCCATGCTCTTCCTTGTAATTTATCAGATTTGTTAATATCCCTCTATGAATGAAACAAGAACATGCCTTATATTACTTGCTGCCTGTAGGGGTTTTTTTTGTTTGTTTTTTACATCTGGGCTGTAAATTTAGAAAGTTCATGGATTTTGATCAGTGGAAACTGTCAATGGAGATAAGACACATCAAAGTCGGTAGGCATATAAGATTTAATAATTAAGTTTAATTAATGAATCAACATAATTAAATCTGGAATTCAATGCTAATTTGAGTAGATGTTTTCTTATAAAAATCCTGTTTTATATTACTCTGTAGCCTCCTCTGCCTCTGGCCTAAGGAACTAGTTTGGCAGGTTCCCAATCTTCTGGAACAGATTTTGATGGTATGCAAGGGACTGCAAGGGGGAGGGGGAATCACCATCTTCCTAGTTCTGCTGATGGAAGAAATTCAATCATCAGAAATAATTCATTGGACTCTAGCCAGAGTAATTTGTAACCATAGTATATATTTTTATCCAAATTAATAAGAGTTGACTGTACAGGCTGTACAGATAATTCAATCATTTATTTTAAGTGTAATGATAAACCTGAAACTGAAAAATGTCTCTCCATTCAGATTTTTACACTATTTGCCTTTAAGTCCCAAATATTATTAAGATCCATGAAGAAATCCTTTGACATTTGAATTTTCACAATATTAAAAGAACTAGTAAAGAATATTATATATCCCACTTTGGGTCAAGAAGAAAATACAAAAGATAGATTGAATGGTAATTTGAAATTTCTTCAGAGATTTCTCTGAGGATCTCATGCTTATCATGATTTTGTGTTACATGAATGTATGAAATTCATTTGAATATATAGTTAATTAACATAAAATTGAACCAAACAGCCCTTAATTATTGCTTTACTATTTGAATAGTTTTCATAACACTCTCATATCCATTTTTTGGTGTGTGCATTTTTCTTTCATCACTGTAAAGTAGTTTGGGCTATTTTTTTGTGATACGCTTCATTAAGTGATGTATGCTAGTTAGCCATGTTGTCTAAAAGGGACAAGAAGATTAACAGGGATTCACCCTTTTCTTCCTACTGCAGATACGGAGGCAAAGTCTTAAAGCAGCCCTGTGAAAACAGAGTTGCTGTAGAAACTCAGCCCCATCAAAGACTTTTTAAAGGGAGACAGTGTGGTCCAGTTGTGCTGGGCCGACATATGTGTAGGACCCCATCCAAAATATAATTCAATATCAGTGGGATCAGTATCTTTCATTCAAGAAAGTAAAACTAATCAGTTAAAATACAGTGCTAGGAGTATTTCAGTGTTTCAGGTTTCCCCACACACTACTGTGCTGTTGAATTCAGTCTACAAAAATGTATGAATTAAAAATACATTGAAATAGGCTATATCTAGAAGAAAATAGAGGGAAGAGAGTGCACAAATGAACATTTTGTGCCTTAGCCTGTTGTTGTCTTAAAAAAATCCAGAGCCCCGTTGCACTTTAAGTTAATTTCCAGCTTTCCTCATCTATGGAGCTATTAACAATATAGTGATTCAAAGCAAATTAATTACAGAGGTGGGGGAAACTCAGACTCAGAAATTAATGGCATCATTTGTAATTCTGATGCAGCTTGAGTTTATAAATCTCATTACTATTGGCTAAGGCACTTTCTCAGACTTTCTATTTACTCTTCAATATCAGTGAGAGATTAAGGATGCAAGGGCAAAGTATGGTTCATGTGAGAGGGGAGGTTATGTGGTAGGAATACATCTTCTATGAAGGAAAAAAGAGAAACATCTGCTCTGCTCTCAAGTTACATTTGTTAGAATTGTGTAGAGCATCAGATTTTATTCTGAAAAGGTGATTTGGAGCATGTGAATGTAGCATCTGTTTGCAACTCTTTAAAGCAGCTGCATTTTTTCCTGGGTTTGTACACTTGCCTTCTGTATGTGCTATACAATACTGGATACATTCTTTGATTGGTTGCAGACAGGCGCTATGTTTACATCATCACATACTCTGAACAACTTCAGAATCAAATCTGAAGCTCTGCACAGTTCTGATATAGATATATGTCTGCATTTGGTTATTGTGAATGGGTGTGTTTGTGTGCAAGAGCAGAAAAAATAGAAATAAAGAGAAAGTAGATGGTCATGGTTATAAGGGGTGGGTAGGGGGAGATGCAGTGCCCACAAATACTTCTACCTGTGCTGATAGATTCCTGTGAATACTTGTAGTTTTTAATTATTTTGCTTAAATTTTTAAAAAATTAGATGACTAAAAAGTAGTTCAAGTAAATTTGCTTTCTTTGACTCCTGAATTAATGATTAAAAAATGGAATGCTAAATTTTAATTGGATATTTAAATTTTAAATAATATACAATTTCTTATTATTAAGGTCAAAGATAGTATAATTGTATCTTTCTTTATACTTATAATTGTATATAATTGTAAAGTTGTAATTGTAATTTCTAAATATTTGGAACATATTTGCTAAAAACAGTATATGGAAACATAAGAGTCCTAGGTGGTACCCACAGGTACTTATCCCTGGTCCCCATGATAGTGGCCAGGGAAAGAATGTTCCTGCTAACACATTCCTTGGTGTCTATCAAGTTCCCTGCCCTAGCTAAATTTATATTCTTTTTAGTTTTCAATTTAGAAAATGAATGGGAAAGAAATTGTTATACTAAAAAACAGAGCATCGGGCCTCAAGCATAAGCTATAGTGCCATGTCCTATAGATCGGAGAAGAATGCCTAAAATATAAAGCAGGGATAGACTTTCCCTTTGGGAACACATTTACCCAGGAACCTGAGCACATTGATACAGAAATCATTGTCTCCCCACCCCCCTTTCACACACATTCACATACTTATGGGACTGTCTCTCCCCAGTTGTCTCTATCTGTCCTACTCGATCCGGCAAGAGAGGCATACTCTGGGTACTGATGGCTAAGGAGTGTTAGCTGGTGGGGCACAGAAGGAAAGCCTTTTCTGCCATGACACCTCCCTTTTGGAACATCATTCCTCCTGAAATTAAATTGTCCCTGTCCCTACTGGCCTTTCATAAGGCCATGAAAACTGGTTTTTATGCCTGAGCCTGGGGCCCTGGGCATGGGATAGAGCCCTTCTCCTGGCTGTGTGGATGATTGGTTGGATAATGCCCGGCTGCTATGTGTTTTATTTTTATTTTTTATATTATGTATTTTATATATAGTTTTATTTTATTGTAAGCTGCCTTGAGTCATGTAAAAGTGAGATGGGTGGCTATGTAAGTCAAATGAATAAATAAATAAACATATGCTCATACACACACTTATATTCACAATGTAATTGTATCACTGGTGCATTTCCTGCACTCCATTTCCTGGTGCCATTTTATTAAATTACCCATTGTACTTTTCTCAAAAATATGCTCAAGAAATTTTGGATCCCTTAATAGGAAATATTTTATTTGCACTATTGTTTTTGTACCTCTATAAAGTCTGTATACATAGTGCAGACAAGTGTGTTCACAAAAATAATGCAATAAAACAGTTATACAGGTAATCCTCATTTAGCAACCACAGTTGGGACCAGCAACTCAGTCACTAAGTGGAAAATCACATGACTGAGCCTGTGCTTATGATTTTACTTCAGCTTTCCTTTTCCCCCACTTCCCGCCCTTTGGAATGCTCATCCTAGTGCTGGGATAATTAACAAGAAGGGAATTAAAGTCTGTATTTACATTCGAGAGGAAGGGATTATAAGATAGTAAGCAGGCACACAATGGGGAATACACATTGAAAGGAATGTGCTAGTGCCAGCTGTTTGCCTAGCACATTCAGGGCTGGGAGCCTTGAGCATACTAGGTAAACAGCTGGTGCTAGTGTATTCCTTTCAATGTGTATTCCCAATTGTGTGCCTGCTTCCTCTCTTGTAATTCCTTCCTCTCCAGTCTCTCCGCTCTACAAGGTGGGGGGGAGGAAAAAAAATGGGACAGGCACAGGAGAGATTGCCTAAAGAGATTGTTTAGGCAATCTCTCCACTCTGCGAGGGGGAAAAAAGTAAAAAAAAAAGGGTCAAGCACAGGATAGCAAGTACTAACTGTAATGGTAAACACATGACTAAGAGAGAGAAGTTGCGAAGGTCATAAATGCACCCCTAGGTCGCAAAGTTATTTTTTCAGCAATGTCATAACTTCAAACGGTCACTGCACAAGGCAGGCGGTAAGTGAGATCTACCCGTACTGAAAAGTTATTTTCCTTGTCTTGAAAAGTATTACTAAGGAATATGCAACATGGTGTGCTCTGCATGTTCAATGGTATTTGACTATTGGTTATGTTTTCTGAGATTTAAGCTAATCTAAAACATCTGGAGGATACTGTGTTACTTACCTGGGGGTGAAAAAAGACAAGGAAAGTAATAAATACAAATAGCAATTTTAAATAAAGTGGTTTTTGCATACTAAATTTATTATATTACTCATGTATAATACATGGTTCTTATTAAAACTATTTTTGTATATTGGGGATATCTTTGAAAGTGACAGGAAGATTCAGGCAGGAAGATGTTTTGATCCATAGGAGGTGTTTATAGGTGAAGGAAGAGGGCGTGGTTTTTTTTTGGAAAGGCACTTTTTCTCCTTGTAATCCAGAATGTAATCTCCTAACCTGATGCTAAAGATTTGGTAGGGGTACTGCCAGGAACTGCAGAGGGAAAGGATCATAAATGACCTTTCTTCTATTCTTGGAAAACTGTCAGCATTTGGATTCAATTGGATATAACTCATTTATTTTATTCCAGATCATTTTCACACATACTTATTATCTTTCTCCCAAGGAGTGGAATATGTGTGTGTGTGTGTGTGCATGTGAATGTGCATGTATCTATATGTGTTTTATAACACAGTATTTTGCTTCAGCATGTTATAAAAATATTATTTTTCTAGAATGCCAGCTAATGAAAACAGAGAGACCAAAACCGAATACATTTATTATCCGATGTCTTCAGTGGACCACTGTGATAGAAAGAACATTTCATGTAGATACTCCAGAAGAACGGTGAGAAATAAATCAAAGTGTGTATTGTTATTTTTTTTTAATGTTGGCAAAAAAGAAAAACTGCATTTTGAGAATTTGTTCATTTATTGAAATTATGAGCTAAAATATTTCTAATTCATAGGTAGCAGCTACCAAAAAATCATAGCATTTAACTATGACTTAGAATATTTGAATTGTGTCAGACTGTCAGCCCTTTAAGATAGGCAAGGTCAAGAAACAGAAGTAGCAGGATTCTAGAAATGCTGTCTGTTATCATAGGGTAGAAAAACAGAATCTTGAAAGCCTGTCAGTTTCTGTCTTAAGCCAAACAAAATCAAGGCAGGGTTATTTCTCTCTCATGCTTTCCAATTTCCCATGACTAAGTTATCTTTTCTCATCCCTAAATAGTTTATTGCCCTCTTCTCCCTTCCCAAGGCCAATTCTTTACATTATCTCCCCTGCCAGAATCATTCCTCCCTTTTGCACATGATAATGGGTCAAAGAACTCATCAAGGGCAATGGGCACATAATCACTTTTGTGTGAAGATGGGTTCAGCAGCTTGTCAAGGTCATTGAATAAGATGGAACTGACAAATAATCTTTTGGCCCCTTCCCTTCAATTCAGGGTATCCCTTTTATTAAAACAGATATTCTAAGTATCCCTTCCTGCATCTAGAGTCTAGAATACATTCTACCTTGTATTCCTTTCTTCATTTACCAGGACACAAGGGAGAAGGTAGCTCCTCTTGGATAAAGAGCGACCAGTGAAATACCTGATGACTCTTTGCTGAAGCAGGCAATTGCAGAAAGAAGGCCATTGGGGTAATCTGATGTGTAACAGGGAAGGGGTGTAGAGAGTAAAGAGGATGATCTTGACAGAGAGAAGGAAGATCCATTACCAAGGCAACAAACAGATAAACATTGCAGAAACACAAACAAGGGGGGACTGGTATGAAAATATCTCAGACAGATGCCTCCAAATTCATGTGAAAATAAGAGAGAGAGGAGGAGAAGCACATTAGACTTGCAAGCTTCTGTTACTATAGCTAATCTTAATACAAGTAGTTTTAGGCACACCTGACATCTGTTTCTTAGTCTGGCCTATCTTGTAGGGCTGACAAGGGGCCAATAAGCTTTGAGTCCAGCTTTTTGGATAGATGGGTGGAAGGCAGAAACTTAGTGGAAAACCACACCAAATCTTCCTTTACAATCTTGGTGTCATATTGCCTGCGTGCATCTGCTGCACTTTTGTACACAGTGTTGACTAATCTAACTGCTCCTTTAAGAAGAGCTGTACAGTTTGTATCTCCTGTTGAAAATCAGAGGCTCAAAGGACAGTGGAGGCAGGAGCAGTGGAGGGCAAGATACATAGGTGATAGCTATGTAGAGTGCTTGAAAGGCCACACGCTGATGGAGGAATGTGGTGAGATATTATTGGCAGATTCTGCAAGATGCAATAAATCAGTCCAATTATCCAGTTAACGAGAGACATAGCAATGCAAGCACCATTCAAATAATGTGTTCATCTTCTCCAAAATTTGGGTGTAAGTTGAAAGCCACAGTCTAAAATCACATGATTGACTAAGCCCAGTATCAAAAAATGTGATCTAGAAAGAGGTGTGCAGTCTCTTGAGCAGATGGTAGACTTCCATGGAATAAAATGAGCTATCTTGGTAAACAAGTCTACCACAGAAATGGCTGTATACCTAGAAGAACAATAATAGAATCATTCAAATTTGTACCCTTTTTTCAGAAGTTGGATGAGTGGTCTTGTGGCTTCTGCAAAATTAGAGATGAATCTTCTGTAAAAATTGACAAAGCCCAAAGATATTGAGCATCATTCACACTCCTAGGTGTTTGTCATGTGAGAATGCATTTTAGCAGGATTAATTTGCATCCCTACTGTAGAGATCCGATAACCCAAATAGTGAATTTGGGAAGATCAAGCACACATTTTTCTAACTTAGCAAAAAGTTGCAAAGTCATTCTGTTTTGTGAGCCTCATATAAGGATGGGTCTTCAAAAGGGGGAAAAGAAAGTCAGTCTGTCATCCAGGCATACCACTACATATTTGTCCAAAATATCAGAAAATATTTCATTCATAATGTGTCAGAGACCCTTGTAGACAGAGAGATGGGGAGCTGACTAGCAAGTAAGAGAAAGCAAACACTGGACTCTCCAGAGACATAGAAAACCTGCTGTGGCTTATTTTTCCCAGACCCTTAAGTATTCAGGGTCAGGGGTTGTCATCAAAAATGGACTCTCTGGAGTGTCAGCAGTCCAAATCAAGAACTCAGACTTTTCAAAATAAAATACCAAACCAAGGAAATAAATGGGTCTGGCAGCAGGAGTTTTGCAGCAACAGTCTGTGAACATATTGGCAGTTCCTTACTTGGGAAATCTCTGACCCCTCCCTTCCTTCTTAAGTAAGGCTTTCCAATATGAGGCACCAGCTCTGCCTAGGCATTAAGCTGAGTCCTGGCCAAGCAGCACAGAAAGATTGGGGAGTCTATTTATACAGGCCTGATAAAGGTAATTTCAGCAGGCACTTCCTCCACAGGCTTCTCTGTGTCATCCTCTGGTATCTGACATCTCCTTCCACCTTCTTCTCTAACCCCTACTCCTGTCTTTTCTTCTTCTAGCAAGCACTGAGTCTTCAGGCACTTACAGTCAGGAGTTGTGGCTTACTCACAAGGAGGCTAATGTTTTCCCTTCACCACACATGAATCTGGAGAAGACTACAGAGCAATTAACTGATGATGCTCTCTGAGTTATTTGCTAATTCTCCATCTTTCTTGGAATTTATTTATTATTAAGATTGTTTTTATATTGTATTTTAATTGATTTTTATCTCTGCTGTAAACCACCCAGAGTTGTTTCAATGAGATGGGCGGTGACAAATTTGATATCTAAATATAAATATATAAACTGAACCATAGGACATTACTGTGTATTTAGATTTGCCATACTGGATGTCAAAAGCTGTTAAATATTCATGACCTCTGTCATTTGGATTAAATCAACCTCTCAAGTCCGATCTACTGAAAATGTGTAGCTTCTGAAGGCGATCCAGAAGTTCTGAAATAAGAGACAGAGAGTAGTCACCTCTAATGGTTACATAATTTAGAAGCCTGTAATCATGAACAAGTCCTAAAGAAGAACTGTCTTTTCTTTTTTGTAAAAAGTAGTGGTGCAGATGCGAGAGATGTAGAAAAGCAAATCTTTCTTTAGATTGTCCAGAAACTCTTAAAGTAGCTAACTCTTGATTAGGTGTAGGATATTGCCTTTTAGCTGGGATCTTGGCTCCAGGAGTTAAGTTGATGGTGCCATCACATACCTGATGAGGAGCTAAGGTAGCTGCTGCTTCTTCCCTCCAAACATCAGCAAAATCTGCATACTTTTCTGGCAAGTAGGAAGGTTCAGGCAGGAGTGCAGGAGGGAGAGAAAGAAAAGAGTGGGAGGCCTGCAAATGGTGCTGTTGATGCTTTTGAGATGGAAAAGAAACCGTTTCTTGCTCCTAGTGAATATCGGATTATGGGTTTGTAGCCAGGCTATGCCCAATACTGTGGGACAGGTAATGAAACTGTGATAGAGATTGTAAGAATTCTGTATAATTTATTTTCAACTGCAGAGTCATATGTTGTAAAATAGGGCCAGCTTGAAGAGATTGCTCAACAATGGTTTCAGCTAGCATAGGTTTCTCTAATAACTGTGTGAGTAACCCAAACAGATGCACCATAGCTTCATTTATGAAATTAGTTGTGCCAGGATCTAAAAGAATGGTGAGCTGTTTCCGTGCCTGAAAGAATGTGATGAGTAACAGGGATAATAAGATACGTTTGCTTGGTGTCAGTTATTTGTGCTCTTCTTTATTGTCTGAGTACCTCCCTGCCAAGTTCTTGGGTTGGGAGCCTGTGAAGTTTCCTGAAGATGACACTCTGGAGTGATTTGGGCACTTGATCATGAAGTGCCATCGTGTGGCACTTTCAAGCAGTCTCAAAGGAAGGAACATTTATGGGACCAACCATGGCTAGGTGTCTTGGAGCTCCACAGTAAAAACATAAACTGAAGTCTCTCCTTCTTTGTTTTTCTGCTGCAGGCAAGGATCTGCACTCCTATTTGCATGGGTTTTAAAGTGCTGGAGTCTGAGGTGGCAACAGGGAGTGGAGGGTAGAGGTGAAGAAAGCTCTACAACCTTCTCCATTATTCCCTCTGCGCCTGAACTCCTCCAGTCACCTAGTGGCACAACACGGAAACAGTTCATCCAAATTCTTTGGTGTGCCTTGTCTTATTAATTTGTCCCTCAGTTCATCAGAAAGTCCTTCCTGAAACTGGCCAGTCTGGGCAAGATCATTCCAATGCACATCTGAAGCATACGATTGGAAAGCAGCTAAGTGTTCATGAACTCAGCCATTTGCTTGTTTCAGTTTGTGAGTCTCCTGATCTGCTGTTGAACTTCTGTCCAAATTATCAGAAGCAGCTCTACATTTTTGCATGAGGTTTTGGTAAGATTTGCCTATCTGGCAAACGCTTTTTTTTAGAATACTAAGAACAAAGGAAGCTTGAGCTGATCTGTAGGAAATTCTGCTGATCCACCCACTATGAACAATTCACGCTGAATTATAAATGTCAGGGATTAACTGTGAGTTCCCCCAAACTTCTCAGGCAGACTTGCAAATGAATGGAGTAACACAGTGCAGCACTTTGTGGGCCCCCTCCTGGCTGAAGTAAGCCTTGTCCCACAAGGTGTGCTTGCTGTATTGCGGCATTATGCAGGTTCGTAATTTGTGTATCTGTCTGCTATTCATGCTGCAATAAGGCTTCGGCTACTTGTTCTGCAGACAGTGGGGTACCTCAAGAATCTGTGCTTGTTTCAGTTTGTGAATCTCCTGATTTGCTGTTGAACTTCTGTCCAAATTATCAGAAGCAGCTCTAAATTTTTGCATGAGGTTTTGGTAAGGTTTGCCTTCTAGATCTAGAAGGCAAGGTCTGATGACACTCTGAGAGAAAGTAGTGAGACTTTCAAGATAGATGTTAGCCCTTTGTGATAGGTATGGTAAAGAAACAGAAGCAGTAGGGGCTCCAGGAGTGCTCTTTATTATTGTAGGATAAAATAACAGAATCTTGAACCCTTTCAGAGGTCCTCTCTGCCCTGTCTTATAGCAAACAAAATCAAGATGGGGTTATTTTGAGTTTCTTTTTCATGCTCCCCACTTTTCCAAGACTGAGTTGTCTTTTCTCCTCCTTTAAAAATTCATTGCTGTCTTCCCTCTTATGATGGCCAGATCTTCATTCCTTCAGGCAGCATACATATGTCATTTATTTTAAATGTGATTTTAACTGTAGGCTTTGTTCATTACGCATAAGAATGAGAGAGAGTGGATTTTCAGTGCAAGACTAAAATTTATTGTAATTTATTAATGATGACTTCTACATGGGATAAAGTTTGTCAGTCCTGCATTGTTCTTTAAGTTTTGCTAACTCTATACTTGCAAAACTATATCTTGATTTGTATTTTCTTTTATTTTTCATTTGTGTTCATAAATATGTTGAATTTTATTCTTAGTTTTTATTCTGTTACAAAGTTTGTATATTTCTGCTATAATCTAGATTTACTTTCATGTAATATTTAGTATAAGAATATTTGCTTATCAAATACAGACTCTAGTTCAGAAACTTTCTAGTGATAGTTTAGTTCAGAAAACTGAGAGAACTATTAAGCAAGAATTCAATTCCTGGGTAAAGAGTATTACTTTAAAGATGGTCACATCACATACCTCTGCTGGAAGTTGAGCTTCAGTGTTTTTTAAAATCTCTGCTACATGCATAGGTTACTGTTACTGTTGAAAGTTTACTATTTTGATTTGGTTTGATCCATATATGTACTGTTAGAAATACATTCATATACATATACATGAATATGATCTGTGGGGATAAAAGCAGCAGAAAATTTCTGTGCAAAGTGCAGCACAGCCAGGTAGGAGGAATGTAGTAGCAACTTGATTTGCTCCCATTGTTCTGTTTTGTTTATGTATATATTCAGCCAGAACACCTTTTGCATCGTTAAATGAATTTATTTAATAATTAACTGTACTGTCAACAGGGAAGAATGGACAGAAGCCATCCAAGCAGTAGCAGACAGGCTTCAGAGGCAAGAAGAGGAAAGAATGAATTGTAGCCCAACATCCCAGATTGATAATATTGGAGAGGAAGAGATGGATGCCTCAACAACCCACCATAAAAGAAAGGTAATTAAAACATTACCCTAGTTAATGCTTATGGTTTAAAAAGGTTTTATTGCCTTTAGTTAGAAGCATTATATTTTTTTCTGCTAATATAAAAACAGGAAAGGTAGATGAGACTGTGTGAAACTAAGGTTCATGCATCTAATAATAAACCATATTAGTTGCTACATTAAAATTGTGCTATAGTTTATTAGCTGATATTTTAAAGTTCATGGGGATTATTTTGCAGGAGTAGGTTTGCTATATACAAAAGATGCTCAACAGACTAACAGTAGTTCTCTGGGTCATGTTTAATTTTATTAGTTTGCTTGACAGAGGCCTCATGATATTTTTACTTTTTATTTTGAATCTGCCTCTTACCTGAATTTCATTTGCTTTGTTGGCCTTTGACATATCAAAATCCTAGTTTTAAATATTGTTAGCAAGCTTGAACATTTTGTGGGAAGGCAGGGTGCAAATATTCCATATACTTAACACACTAAATTTGTGTTGTTTTTTCACTAGTTATTCCTTCTTTAACTAGAACAATAGTGGAAAATAGTGGGTTAATTCTGAGCAGCACTGTAATTTAATAATACTAAGTGGCACCTTCTCTCCTCCCTTCCAGATGTCATTTATATTTTGTACCATTTAGTGAAATAATTATTCTGTTATGTGATAATACAAAAATGAGGGTGAAATTCTGTTATGTGGTGATACAAGAATGAGGGTGAAATTCTGTTATGTGGTGATACAAGAATGAGGGTGAAATGTGGAAGCTAGTTGAAAAATTGCCAGAGAATATAAACTGCAGATTAAGAAGTTTCTTAGAAGAAAATGTTACTTTGTAGAATGTGGTTATTTTAAGTTCAGTAAATAATATGACTGTGCTAAGCTTCAGGTAGGTAAGTTTGACTCTGGGGCCAGGTCCATTCGGCTTTTGTGGCAATATGATGGAACTGGTTTACCGCTGTCCTCTCCTGGATTTATTTTTTTTACTTTCCACTCAAGCTAGTAGTACTGGAATTTTTAGATAGCCCCTAATCCAAATATTAACCAGGGTTGAATACTGGTTAGCTTCTGAGAGCAGTTAAAGTTGGCTAGGTACTGCTACTTGCTAAGGCAAATTTTGGATTTTGATAATATAAAAATGTCTTTTTAAAATTTGTTTTGATATTCGCCTGTATTTCAGAGTAACCAAGAAAAATTCTTCAGGTTCTGAATATAACTGTCATTGTATTTTCATGACTATTGTATATAATTTTCCTTATTTTAATATAACATGCAACCAATTAGTGGCAAGACTTTTAAAATTAATTGATAGATAGGCAACTTGATTTTGCAGCACAGTCCTACACATCTCTACTTAAAAGTTAGTCCCGTTAGTTCACTAGGAGTTATTCTATATAAATGTATATAGGACTGTTTTTTAAAGTCCTCATAGGATAGCATTTATTGTAGTTAAAGACCATTGATCTATAGACTCAAAGCATACTATTCTTTAATTCTTCTGTTTTTTAAATACTATAGATACGTTACATATGGTTATAATCATAGAGTAGCTTTGTCAAACATTTCTGTGTGCTCAGTGATTTTTGCAATAGGAGGAGAGGCTAAACAGATTATGAAACAGAGAGGAAGACAAAGTATTCTGTTGCAAGGAATATATTTATAATGAAGAATGAATACATTATATTTAAATTAATTAGATATTCATTTATTTTTATTTTATTTAATTTTTAAATTTGTACACTGTGTAACTCCCAGTGACTGTGGATGGTTTATCACTTTCCTGAGTTCTTTTTAAGTTCAGTTAATTTTGATTTGTATATATTTCATTATTAAAATTAATTTCATATTTTGATTTTGTTGTCTACTGCAAAATATACAATCAGGTGGTTCTGTTCTTTGCTGTTATTTGCCATAGCTTATGACATTGCCTCACAGAAAAAAGTGCCAGCCTTAAACCATTGTGTACTGAAGTAGCCAGTGATTTGTTGCATCTAAAAGTGATGTAAAACCAATCATCTCTTGGCATAATCATACTGTATAAAAAGACTGCAGTTTTTGATTGGCCAGCCCATGTATTACTACTACCTGTGAAATCACCCTCCCACCTCTCTTTGGTAAAGCACACAAACCAACATTTGAGGAAACCAATAAAATCAACATAGTTTTCTTTGCACTTCTACATTCATTGTAAAACCATTGGCTGATAGACAATCTCAAACCATAGTAGAGCCTCCTTTATGCTTATCAGTTGGCAAGGTGAATGCATTCATTCTTCTAATGCTTCACCCTTTTTTCTTCAAATGTGTCTTGTGTGGTTGTGGCCAAACAGTTCAAATTTGGTTTAATTGGTTCAAAGGCCTTCCTTTCAAAACATTTCAGGGTTATAAGATATTATTTTGCATATGTTAGACAATTACATTTGAGATGAGATCAGAGAAAGGCTTCTGATAACTCTTCCACACAGATCATTGATGTAAAAACATCACTGTACCTGTGAACAGCTACTCCATTCCAAGTGAATTTTTCAGCAGGCTGTTGCAGTGTGTTATGAGTTCTGTTTTACAAATCTGACCAGTCTGAGAGCAGCTCTAGTAGAGATTTGTCTTAATCTTCCAGATCTTGCCTTGACTTCATGTTCTGTGTAATTTCCATTTCTTAACTATGTTTTTTACAGTTGGAAGTGTTTAGAAATTGCTTTGTAGGAATGAATTATCTTCATTTTCAAACATTCAAATAGCTGCTTAGAGGAGCCTATGTTGTAGAAAGTAGACAGAATAACAGTTATAACCTGAGAGGTTAGAAGAATTAGGTATTTGTTTGTGGAATTGTCTTCTTTTGGCTAATTGTAGACCTACAAGTCAATCACTTTTTTGGGCCATATTAACAATTTTACAGTTAAAAAAAAAAGCTTTGAATCAGGTAGAAGAGCATCCAGACTTCTGTATCTGCTGTAGTCACTGTTTTATTATTTTCAATGTATAAACAACTGCACAGAAATATTAACGCTTGCCGAAAGATGCAAGGTTTAATTTTTACCTTGTGTTGGCTTCTGTTCACTTAGGAATTCATTGAAACATACAACTTAACCAGGGGTGCCTAAATGCATGCATGCAACTATAACTTGACTGTTGTCTCAGTGCAGTCTTATAGATTTTCTGTATTCACAAAGTAAACTTTGGGAACATTTTCAAGTTCTTGTCAGGAATAAGGCATGTTAGTTCTGCTCTGCAAAATAACTTTTTTGCTATCTACATATTCTCTGAGGAATGGTACAAACCCATTTCAACTGACTGCTATGATAGCAGTAGGTCATGTCTTGTTTTTGTTTTTTAATATTTTTGCAGAACAAGCTATAGCTTATTTGCCTCCAATTTTAGACTGAGAGTTCTAAGTATTTAAGATTGGGTATGCCCATATTTTTTATTTGTGTAAGTTTTTTCATTTTAAATTTTCCTATATAACTCTGACTCGCTTAACAACTGCCCCAATTAATGATCAATTTTTCCAGTCCCTATTGTGGTCATTAAGCGAGGACTACCTGTAGAGTGTTGGGTATTGATTGGTTTATTGCTTTAAGGTATCCTAAGAAATGAGCATGGAACATTCCTGCAGTCTAATAAGAAAATTAACATGTTATGTTTCCCAGAAGGAAGATGTTACCAATTGACTTTAGTTATTAGGTGAGATTGTTAGAAGCATAGTGGTGAGAATATTATTGTGCATATTTGGCTCTAGGAGGATATATATACTGTGTCTTACTAGATGACTGAATCTCTTCTGGTTAATGTGATTCATAAGAATGAATTAATAAAAGATGGATCTTTAGGCCTAGCTTGCTTGTAAGTGTGGAAACTAATTATAGGAATATCAGTTATTGAGTGTTTGAGCCAAAGGCTTATTTTCCTATCTCTGGGAAATGATCATTCCCATCTATAACTAAAACTTCCACCAAGAGGGTCATTATACTGTCCTATCAGATTGCTTTCTGATAATGTTTATACTTTGTAAATATCTATGTAAATAATGTTTATACTTTGAAATGATCCTATTTATTAAGCAGTGTTTTTCCTTTATAAATACGCGTTCTTCACAGGGATCATTACATAATAAAATTACGCTTTCAAGTCTGAAGTTTCTTTTTAAAACAAGAAAAGCTACTAGATTTCTATCTTGACTTTCTAGTGGTAATTGTGTACTACTTGTTTAAAAAACAAAAAAATATTTTGGTCCACTTAAAATGTTTTACAGGCTGGGTTGAACACAAGCAATCTGCAAACTCTGCAAAGAAAACAAGCAGGTTGATTGTTGAAGTTATATTGAAGTCACTTTTTGGCATAGAAAATTTTCATGTGAAGCTTCAGAGCCGGCAGTATGATGCTGTTAAAGAAAATTTTTGAGCTCTGAAGTTCCCCTGTAATTGATGATCTTTCTAAAAGTGGGAGTAGCAAGAACATTTTGACAAATCTAATAATTATTCTTCTCTATGTTGTATAGCTATATAATTGTATATACTGTATAGGATCACTGACATATTGGCACACTTCCTTTGCAAATGCTATATATGCTTTCTTATTCTGTGTATGGTAACAAAAGAATGAGGTCAGAATTTGGAATCATACCACATTGATTTGTTAAGAATTGCTTGTTTCTTGATAATCATAGAATTTAATTTACTAATGGACAGCAGTATTTTAATGAACACAGTATCTGCAAGCTATAAATCCTATTAATTCTTCATCTTATACTTCATACAGACAATGAATGATTTTGATTACTTAAAACTACTTGGCAAAGGCACTTTTGGCAAAGTTATTCTGGTCCGGGAGAAGGCAAGTGGGAAATATTATGCTATGAAAATTTTAAAAAAGGAAGTTATTATTGCAAAGGTATGCTTATATGTTTAATATAATTTTGCTTGTAAATATAGATATTTGTGGAAATAGTTTATTTTCACTCCTACAAATCTTATTGGAATAAAGTATCTATAAGATGAACCCTTAAACTTCTTTACACAGTGATATAAAGGCTTTAATCAGACACACCCAAATTTTAAAGTTAACTGGAATACTTTTACTATTTTCTTAACATTTCTCTTAATATAAGGCTCCTGGTTGAAGTGAGGCTAGAAATTTGATTCATCGTGATGTGGGAATTGTTCTTTCCCAGAAATTCAGATTTTTTTCCCTGTCTTACAGTCCCATCATGTGATTGTATAAAGTAATTCTTAAAACCTCAGTGTTGCATTAGGACATACAGTTGGTGCCCTGACACCAATTTCCTTATACCAAATGAGACTGTGACTATATGTTGCAGAATAGTTCACTCTCACTGGCAGCAGCTCACCAGGATTTCAGGCAGAGCTTTTTCACTTCACCTCCTCTCTGATCTTTTTAACATCAGTTATTGGGACTGAACTTATATGACATTGCATGCAAATATATTTTTTGCTGATTAATTATGGTCCATCCGTACAGACTCTCTAGATGTTGTAAGACATGTCATTCCTGATGAATACCATACTATTTACATGTTATAGCAGCCCTTGTCTATAGCATTCATGGCCCAGATCTTAGTTTTATATTCCTATGGTGGTACATTTTAGAGATGCATAAAATATTTCAATATCAAAATGTTCTGATCTCAGAATGGCTGATCCAGCTTCAGAATGGGCCATTCTGAATATACAAAAGAGGCCAGATCTTGGTAGACTATTCTAACTTTAGTCCATAGGTCATAATAGCCCATTTCAGATCAGAACACTCGCAAAAGATTTTGCACATCTCTGTATATTTTTATACCTTTAAAAAGTAATTTTTCAAGGAAAAACTGGACAATTTTCTCAACAACAAACACTGGATTCCATAATTCAATAGTAAACATTATAATACCATTATATAGTTTTTAGTATGAAACCATTATTTTATCTGAAACCACTGAAACCATTATTTGCTCACAGTGTTGTAGCAGTATTATTTGTTATAGGTGAATGAAATATTATGTGTGATTTATCTTTTTGAAGCTTTTGAATATCCTGTTTCCTCTCCCTTTTTAAGTATGCTTATCATATGATGTTCCAGAAACTTCTTGGAGTTTTTTACAATAATATTTTGATCTAGTTCTGTCTTTTAAAATTACTAATGTTAATATTGCATTTTTTATTTTTTAGGATGAAGTGGCTCACACACTTACAGAAAGCAGAGTATTGAAAAACACTAGACATCCTTTTTTAACAGTGAGTATAGATAATTAAAGCTACAATGTTTTATAAAACTACTTGGAAATTGTTCTCATTAATCTCTAGAATGTTCAACTGGGTAGATTATGCATAAACTGTACTGTAATTTGGTAGTTTTAAGTATAAAGGTATTAAAACAATATAGTTAGGCATTAGAATATAATTGGGATGAGAAGAGAAATGGTTTCAGAAAATGGTTTTTGGGTTGTTAATTGTGTTAAAAACCTCCTTGGACATTTTTAATTAAAAGTTGATATAGAAATATTTTAAATAAATATTCCTCCAGAGATCATAGCCATTTTCAATGCCTTTGGTACCAGTGCCCATAATTTAGTTTAGTTCAGTTCAGTTCTTAATTAAAATATTTTAGGCTGATTTCAAGTGCATAATAGGTGCATGATATATTAAAAACTTTGTGCCCAGATACAAAAGATGGAGGCTTCTTGTGTTTTAATGATGTATGGAAGATAAAATCCAAACAAGTATACTATCATAAGGAACTAAAGGGAAAAAAGCAGTAATAGCACCATCTGTTAGGGGAAAATCAGATATTAATGACTTGAAAAGGTTCTGTCAAAGAGCTAGGTTTCAACAGTCCTGCGAAAACAATTCTGCAAAAACAGTCTAGCAGTGAGGTGGTAGTCTGGATGTGTAAGGGCAAACTATTCTATAGAAGAAGAGCTTATGATGAGAAGGTTTGCTTGTGGGGTCCCTGCAGGTGGAATTCCCTCAGGTATAGGACCCTCAGCAAACCTTCTCTCCCTGATCTCACTGGACTGGCAGATTTACTTCAGAGAGGATGGTCCTGAAGATACCCAAGCCATGAGCCAGACAGGTCTTTAAACATGATGACCAGTATCTTGAATTGTACCATGCACTGTTAGTGTTTTGCCAGGTTCTGCCAACAGTATCAGCATTTAAATAAATTGTAATAGCCACTTCTCTGTGTACAACTAACAACCTACCAACACAATCTTTTCAGTTGCTGAAATTCATCCTGAAATTAATTGTAACTGTAGTATTCAGAGTACAACAGTATTCAGAGTACAAAAACACCAAAACTTGAATGTACCAATCAAATCATGCTTTTGTCTGGTCTCTTCTCTTCTCTCCCTCCCTCCCTCCCTTCAAATCATCCACCCTATTTCACTGCTTAAAAAAAAAATTTTTTTTTTTAAACTAGTGCACTTGAACTCTGTGTGTATGCAGCAATTACTCAGAGGCAGGCAGCTGGATATACATTATGCTCATCAAAAACAGAATGGCCACTCCCTGAACTACATTCTTCATTACATTTCTTGTTCCTCACCATTCCCCCCACCCTAATTTTCCTACTCATCTTCAGTCAAGATGGGATTTTTTTTAAGAAAAAGAAAAAAAGAAAGGCAAAGGCAAAACAGAGTACAACTTTCCAGTCAAATTGCCTGGAGCAACCAGGAGTGCCCAGCCATTTTTTATTGAAATATAGAAGAGAAGTCAGTCTTTGATTCCATTCTCAAAATGTACTTTCAGAATGCTAGTATTTAATTTTGAGAACAGAACATGCAAAATACAAGTTTTGAGCTTGAAACGTTTCAAACTTCAGCAGTTTTATACACTGCTAATCACTATTTGACTAAGCACAGTTTAGATTTCACGTGATTTTATTTGTATTTCTATTGTCTCTTTTTCTATTAAGATTTTGCTGTACCGGTTGAGTTAGAGTTAAATTGCACATATATACAAACAAACAAACAAAAAAAAAGGAAAGTATCAACAGACTGTGGGTGACATATGGGGCTTACAAATGTCTATTAAATTCTTTATAAAAGCATTTAAAGTGTGGAATTCCAAAGGAAACGTCATAAGGTTTCAAAAGAACACCAAAAATGCTAAAAAATTCCTGTTAAAGAGGCTAAATGAATTTGCTCAGAAGATAGGTTGGAAGTGATTCATAACATAAAAATAGGTTTAACAATCTGGACAGGGGTTTTGTTGGGATGACAAGATAGCAAAGTACCAAACACAAATTTTTTATTTTATTTATTTATTTTCAAATTTGTATGCCGCCCATCTTCCCCAATGGGTGACTCTGGGCGGCTCACAATAATAAAAAAGAAGAAAGAAGAAATTGAATGTAAACAAGCTCAGGAGACAGGTGTAAGAGACTGGGTGATAAATAGGGCAAATGAACAGTATCAAAATTCAGATACATTTCAGATCCAGTCCAAATAAGGCATATCAGAGATCCAGGATAAAGGCTTCACTAACAAGAACACAAAGCATATTGAAGAGCTAGGTCAGATGTTCCAGCATTAACTTATCTTCCTCTATAATATATAGGGTGGAACAAGACCAATAATGGCCCTCACTAGACAAGGTATATTTTTACTTAATCATAAAAATTACAAATTCCAGTACATTGCAAAAATCTTTAGATAAAACTGCCCCAGTGATTATTTTGGGGGCAATTTAGACAGTATGCAGTAAATTACTTTTTCAATTATTAGTACTTTTAATATATGATGCTCCCTAGACTGGGTAGTATTTGGGACTTGTTATTTATGGCATGGAATAACAAGTAATTGGTTACTTGAACAATTTTGTAAGCAGAATAGAGGATTATTATTATAAACAAGTCCTGTATAAGCACCAAAGCTTCCAGTCCAGACATTCAGTCAAAGCTTCCTTTGTGGATAGTAGCTATAAGTCAAAAGCAAATGTTGCTACAGTTGTTTTTAGTTTTTAGGGTTTTTTAATTGAATAAATTTAAGTTTATTTTAAGACTAATTTATGTGCTTAAATGTTTTCAGTAAAACTGTCTTTTGACGATTTTGCTATAAAAATATCCACTTAAATTATGCCTGTATGGAGAAGTCTTCCCTGTATCATCCAAGTATTCAGATGCATGAGCAGAGAATGCTATTTGACTGACAATTCCAGTGGAAGTATATTCTCTGCATGTATATACATGCAGGAAAACAGGAGGAGAGCCTTGAAATAACCAAATCTGCTTAGCACCTTCATGCCATGGATCTAGAGAAACATCTCACTGAACAATCTGCACAGATGTAATACAAGCACATATTGGAATGTTCAGGGCTTTGATTTTGTTTATATTTAGGTCCAGCTAAATACTTGGAGCATGTACAGAGGAAATTAGAAAATACATAAGGAATTACTACAAAAATACTAATTTTCCATGCTGTAGGTTAATTGCTGATATCCTTTTGCTGTCTTTCCCAATCTGGAATCTAATATGACATCTTATAGCCTAGGCAGCCTTCCCTAACCTAGTGTTCTCCAGACATGTACATTCCCTGTTGACTGGAAGTTCTGGTAGTTGTAGACCAGAATAAGTGGTCTACAACTTTTGGGAAAAAGTGTACTATTCTGATATTGCAGGTTTATTAACTTAGTTTTCATTGGTAACCAGTTATGATCTCCATTAAAGTTCTTTTTTTGTGCTACTCTATAAGTGTATTTCTGTTTTATATTGCTTGAGATACATGAGAAGAGTAGTTTCTTTTTTAAATCTCTTAATACAAATATACCACTGTTATACTAAAGTATGAATTTAGTTGTCATTATATTAAGACTATTATTAGCCTTCACAGCATTTTTCTAGAATTTTTCTTCCTAGAAATTAAAAAGGTGCTGTTTTTATCATGCTTCTTGGGTTATATTTGATCTTTACCTATGAGTTATTCACATAAGGTTTATTCCTTCTTGAATTTCAGTAATCTTCAGACCCAAATGATAAAAAATTAATTAAGAACCACAATTGTATAGAGTTCTTTATTTAAGATCAAAAATGTATCTTCATATTGCAGAGAGGAAGGATTAAGTACTGTGGAGAAAATGCCCTCTTTGTTTGCCACTTCCTATTTACCTTTCAGATTGATTCTGCCATCTATATGCCATCTCCCAGTTGTGTCATCTATACGTATTTTTATAAGTCTCAAATAATCCCATAATGAGTCAATAGTAGCCAGTATTCTAACAGCTATAGTTATCTGGATAAGACTTAATAAAGTTTCCAATAAACATAAACAGAATATACTCCAGAGCCTTATGGTTTGTCTTGTTCATGTCACTTACTTTGGTATATCCAATTGTTGCAAATGAGCCAAGACATTTTTGGTCCAGAGGTATTTGAATCAACAGTTCTGTTTTGAATACTTAGCAGTGTTAACCTCCATATGATAATGCTGGACTAAACAGATGGGAGACTTCAGCTCTTATCAATTTCATATGCTGTGATGGATTTATTTAAAAAAGAGAAGCAGTAATGGGCTCATCATTTACATTTTGATGTATATTGTGGGTATTTTTATTTAATCTTATACCATCTTGATATTGTATTAGACACAGCTGCAAATTATAAAACATTCAGAATAAGAATTCATCTTTTCTCATGAATTGCTGTAAAGAGAGATTTTTTTCTTTGCGTACTTATTTTTTCCCCCTAAGTCAATTATTTAACATAATTAAAGTCAAAAGAGAAGCAAAACGCCTTGCAGCACCTAAAAGACCATATAACGCAAATGTGTTATAACACAATGATTTCATAGACATTTGAGGATAGCTGTCTTCAGGGCAGTAATAGTGGACACTAAAGAGGAAGGGGAATAGGTGCTAGTTTTCAAATTAAAATGAAGGAAGAAATGGTTTGTTTTTGAAAGTAGAAAAGGAGTTTTTGATAAATGTTCAAGTCCAAAATACATTGGGCAAATGGAATAAAGGCACTTACTAGACACTGTAAAGATATTTCCTTTTCTGTTTTTTTTTGTCAGTGACAAAGTACCGTTCTTGAACAAAGAGGTTACAAGACCATTTGTATTGGGAAGCATCTAAGCTTGAATTTGTTAAAAGGTTCAGATCAGTTTCCTGCAACTTAAACAGAGACAGTTTTCTTATACAGTATGTGAAGAAATCACTTATCTGAACTCATTAATGCGAGAACATCTGTGACACTTCTAATAGTTCCTTTGTGAATTACCAAGGAAGTCATAATCTCTGTCTGTACCTTCTTCTGACTTCACTTTTTACTAAGGCTGTGCAAAGCCATTCAGATTGTTCAACAAAGTGCCCCTCTTAACTGTTTGCTTGAAGCGTTAATTCTTCTTCCAGGACTGGCACAAGTAGAATTGTCATCTGTTTGTGCATACTCATGCTCAGACAATGTTAAAAGGCCTTCACAGCTGCTGTGCTGTGCTTTTGAGAGGACACATACTTTGATACTTGAGCAGCAGGTTTTAAGGAACGTTTCACAAAGCACCTCTCTAAATGGTTTTGTATGGCAATCTTTATTCTGAAATTAAATTATACTTTATATACCATGTGCTGTATATTCTTTTCTGGTGATAAATTCTATTTATCCTCATGTTATTTCTGAGTTTATAGCTACAGGACTGAAGTGTATATGAATTGAGTGGAAATGGGTGATTAAATGTTGCCTTTGTCTTTATTTTTAGAAGATGGGCTACTTTCATAACTGCAGGTTTTTTTTTCTTTAAGTCTTTGAAATATTCATTCCAGACCAAGGATCGTCTGTGTTTTGTGATGGAGTATGTCAATGGAGGAGAGGTAAGATGAGAAGCAAGTTGCATTATTGCTGCTTTGATTTCTATCTTAAAATATTATGTTTCCTGTTGTTCTTGTAGTCCTTTGGTATAACTGAAATCTCTGTAACATTTCCTTTTATTCCCTCTTAATTTGTTAAATAAATAAATAAATTTGCTAAATAAATATGTAAAAAGAGTGAACATCTTTGTCAGCCTTTCTTGTGAGCAAAATGCATAGCAAGGTTAAAAGGACCTAATTATATGGGTAGGGAAGTCTGGATTAAAAAAAAATTCAAAAAAAAATTTTTTTTTTCTGTCCTGTGTTTAGCTGTTATTACATGAAAAAAGAAACAATGTAAACTTTCTCTTTTGTTAGATCTCAAGATATCAGTTTACTGAAGACTACTGGTTTATCTTTTTTTATTTTTTTCAGACTTCAATATTATTGGCCAGTTTACTTCCATTTTTTGGCATAGGGTTCTCTGTTGAAACATTTTGCTCACAAGAAAAAAATGTAGTTCAAGAAAGTAACAGAAAATGATATTCTTTATCTGGAAAAAAGCTGCAGGTTTCTCCCTCCCTCCCTCCCTCCCTGTATGTGTGTGTGTGTGTGTGTGTGTGTGTGTGTACATCATGATCCTTATTTCATAGCATTTCTTATGATACTCTATATGGCAAGATAGTACCATAGATTAACTAAGCATGGTTTAAATTTAACTGCTTAATTTAAGCCATGCATTAGGGATATTTTAGTAAGGGTATGCACATTTTGAATTAACTTTTTATTCTGGAGTATTTTGGGAGAGAAAGTTAAATTCTTCTTATGCTGGTAAAAATAGAATTTAATGTGGAGAAAACAAAGCATGTGGAGAGCTCCTGTTTTTAAGAATTGTTGGAACAACATTCCTATTGAATCCCCAATGCATATGAGCAAAGTTGCTGGGAATCAAACAACATTTTATGCCTTAAAGATTTAATTACCAAAGTTTATGGATGAATGAGTTATCATTAATCCAATGGAATTATATTGTTACATCTTTAGTAATATAAGAGAGTAGATCTTGATGAAATCTGCAAGGTGTTAGGTTGGATAGAATGGCTTAAAATCTTTAAGGATAAAATTTCCCAGAAAGATGGGAAATTCTATCAAGTAACATCCTGAAGGAATTCCCTCAAGTAGGAAAAATACCAGAAATCTAAAGAGGCCAGCTTGGTTACACTGGTGCTCTCTAAAATGCTGAAGAAAAAAAGGGACATGTACAGGATACGGAAAGAGGAAAACATAACCAAAGAAGACCACAAGCAGTCTCCAGAATGAGCTCAGGCTTATAAGAGGTACCCAGAACAATAAAGAAATGCTTTCTGGCTACATTAGAAAGAAAGAGAAAATCAAAGAGGATGTGGGTCCATTGTGAGGAAAAAAGTATTGTTGTGGTAATGGCTTATGGTGAGAAGGCAGCATTTCTTAACTCTTACTTTGCACATTTGAAATGTAGGTTTGCTGCATTCTAAAAATGGAGTGATATGTTTCTAACAGATATTGCTGTTAGAGGGACTCACTGCTGGTTGAACGATCATGCACAGAGTGCTCATTAAAGTCTCCACTTCAGCTTGGAAAGAATTTTTGGGTGGAGTGCCCTAGGGTTCTGTCCTGGATCCTGTGCTGTTCAATAGTTTTTGAATGGCTTGGATGAGAGAGTTGTGAGGACATTTACAAAGTCTGCAGATGAGACAAAGCTGAGAGGCGAGGCTAATACAAGATAGAAAATTCAAAAAGCTCTAGATAGGCTTGAGCACTGGGCTGAAGTGAATAGAATAGAAATTATCAGGGAGAAATGTAAAGATCTTCATCTGGATAGGAAAAATATAAGGCACAAATATAGGATGGAGTGAGCTGGCTTGGCAGTAGCACATGTGAAAAAAATCTGAGTGCCCTTGTCAACCGGAAGTGTGATTCAACTTCTAAAAAGGCAAATGTTATCCTGGATGGATTAACAGGAGCATAGAGTCCATATCACAGGAATTAAATGTTCCCTCTACTCTGCCCTGTTCAAACCCCATTTGGAGTACTATGTGCAGTTCTAGGCATTGTAATTCTAAAAAGGACAGTGAACAATTGGAGAAGGCTACCAAAATGGTAAAATATCTGGAATGCAAACCCTATGAGAAATGGTAAAGGATATGGGTTATGTTTAGCCTATAGAAATGACAACAGAAATTAAATATGACAGCAGTCAGATATATTAAAGATTGTTACGTAGCATAAGGTGCAGATAATTTCTAGTGCCCCAGAGGCAGGGCCAGACCAATGGGTACAAGGAAGTAGGCTTTGGCTGTTCATCAGGAGGAACCTCTTGACTGCATAGGTAGTCCTTGCTTAATGACTCTAATTGGGACTGGAATTTCCATCATTAAGCACAGAGTTCATTAGGTGAAACGTCACGTGATTGCACCACTTAACCACACCATTTCCAGTAGTCCCCGTTGCAGTTGTTAGGCAAGGACTGTGCCATCAATAGGTGAGGACCTCACGTTTCTCCTGCTCTGCGTGAACTGCTGCCTCCGTCCTGCTGCCTCCTCCCCACCTGGGCCCTGTGAGCTCCTCTTGGCAGATGAGGCTCTGCTGTCCTGCCGTGCTCACCTCTGCTTCAGTTCCTCTCACCTACCTCCCCCATTTTCTGCTCTTTTGGCCTCCCTACACTCCGCTGCTGCTCCCAGCTGACCTTCGCCACCTTCTTCCTCCTCGCAGAGGTGTTGTAGAGACCTCATGAAAGGCCAGCAGCTGCCTCAGCTAGGCGCGCCTCATCAACAGGAGGAAGAAGATGGCAAAGGTCAGCTGAGGGTAGCGATGAGCGGCAGGGGTGCAGGCAGAATGCAGGGTGGCAGAGTACAGGGTGACCAAAAGGGTAGAGATGGGGGGGAGATGGGGGGGAGTTGAAGCCAATGCTGTGGTTATAAATATGGGTGGGTTGCCAAGTGCCCACATTTTGATCACAGAGGTGCTGCAGTGCCCGTAACTCTGAGGACCAGTCGTAATTATAATTTGTTCAGCACCATTGTAACTTCAAATGGTTGCCGAACGAATGGTTGTAACTCTGTGTGAGCTTTCAGACAGGCTGCCAAATGTAGTTCTCATTTTCTGAAGGTCTTCAGAGGCTACATGATCATCTGTCAAGAGATGCTCTAGTGGACCCTACACTGAGCAGGGGGATGAATTAAGTGATACCTGAGATCCATTCCAAGTTTATTCTGTGATTCTAACTATCTATTATGGCTCAATTTCCTGAAATATATTAAAAGCATGGTATCTAGTTGCGTTCAACTTTGTGGGAACTGAATTAGCTGATGGTGCAGTTGAATTTTTGTTATCTTTGAGAAATCTTAGAGAACTGGTGAAATGTCAAAGGACTGGAAGGGACCAAATATTGCTACTATCTTCAGAAAGCAGAATGGGGTGACTGCAGACTAGTCAATCTGATGTTGATACTTAGGAAGATTGTTGGTAACTCATAAATAAATTGATCTGCAAGCATCTGAAAACAATATGATAAATACCAAAGTCACTGTCTATTGGTTAGAACAAATCTTACCAGACCTGTATTATTTCATTTTTTAAAATGGTTAATGGGTAACTTCCTTAACAGATTGTAGGAATGCTATGGGCATAATATATCTTGTTTTTAGCAAAGCATTTAACAAATGTTAATATTTTAGGACATTCTGATTACAAGCTAGTCTACAAGTGTAGGTAGCATGCATGAGAATTAAATGGCATAATAGCTATCTGAGAAATTGTACTGAAAGAGTGGTCATTGGTAATTCCTCATCCAATTGAAGAAAAGTATGTGCTAAGAGATTCAGTGCTGTGTCTTCTGCTGTTAAGTGCTTTTATAAATAACTTGATGAAAAAGTGGAGGAGAAACTTAACAGATTTGCAAATAACACAAAATAGCAAGACTAAAAGACAGAAATACAATTTAAGCTGATCTTGATAAGATAGAAGAATGGTTGAAAATAAGAGAATGAAATTTAAGAGACAAATGCAGAGTTCTTCCCTTAGGGAACAAATCAAATGCATTGGCATTGAGTGGGCATCACAGGCTTGGTAATGGCACTTGTAAAAAATATTGTGGAATAATAATTGATTGCCAACTGAATGTAAATCAGTATCATGTTACTGTGAGAAAGGCAAATACAATTTTAGGTTGCATAACTATTTCCAAATCAAGGGAAGTAATAGTTCCACTTTATTCTGTGTTATTCAGACCCTCAATTTGAGTACAGTGCCAGTATTGTGCACCATACTTTAAGAAGTATTCAGAGACACTGGAAAAGGTTCAGGGAAGGGCAACAAGGATGTTCAAAGGAGAAGAAACTAACCCTCTGGGAAAAGGAATTTAAGATGCTGCATATGTTTAGTGTTGGAAAAATGAACACTGTTTAAATACCTGAAAGCATTCACACATAATTAGGTCAAGGTATGTTCTCTCTTATTCCAAGCACAGGGGAGGAATAATGGGTTTAATTGTCAGAACTGCATCTTCTGAATGAACATTGGGGGGGGGGGAATCATTATATGAAGAGCAGTTTGACAGTGGAACCAGTTACTCAGAAGAGTGGGTTCTCTTTCATTGGATATATTCAAGCAGAAGCTAGAATAGTCATCTTCTTAGATGCTTTAACTGAAATTCCTGATCTGAGTAGTGGGATGGGCTTGATTGCTTAAATTGTCCCTTCTAATTCTATGATTTAGTGACAAGCACAATTTTTAAACCATACTCATTATCCTGTTTAATATAAATGATTTGGTAGAGTGATCAGTAGAATTCCTAATACTTTTGTCTAAATACGAAATATCTACATTAGTTTCATTGCTACAAATTAAAAAAAAAAAAGAGGAGGAGGAGATACTGGAGGGAAAAGAGGTACAGAATGATGATGATGCACATTTTTCCTCTGGTAACTGAAGGTTAAATGGGTAGCAAGGAAAATGCCTTAAACAAGATTGGTATATTGATTAAAATGCTGATTTAACAGCTCGCTTTTTCCCCTTGGAAACCTGGAAAAGATAAACCAGCTGCTCTCTAAGAGTGCTGAATGTCCACTGAGAGTACACTATCTATCATCACAATATGGTGATGAGAGGTGTTTTATGTTTGTGTTAATTTCCCCCACTAAATCAGTAATTATTGCAATCCTGTCCCTGCTGTTTACCCTGCAGCTGTTTTTCCATTTGTCGAGAGAGCGGGTGTTCTCTGAGGATCGCACACGCTTCTATGGTGCAGAAATTGTGTCTGCTTTGGACTATCTGCATTCTGGAAAGATTGTATATCGTGATCTCAAGGTAAAAAAAAGTAATCAAAATGTTTTTGAAGAGACTATTGGGAGAAACAAAGTAATTATAAAGTTATGCTATTTTGAGAAAAGTAACTAGAAAATTGCGCTCTAGATTGAAGTTCATCAAAATGCTTAATATCCAATTTTATATTGTGATCTGTATAACTTGGCATTTGTTTAAATAATTCATAAGAAAGATTCAGTTTAATGGCATAAATAAAGGGAATGTGCTCAATTCTTTTACGTTTCTTTTCATCAAACTACATATAAATATTAAAGTTATTATTAAACTCCATAAATGAAAATATGTATTAATGTAAAAGTAGGACTTTTTAAAAAGTAGTTTTTAAATGTTCTAATAGAATGTTCTATTTTTGTGTGTGATTTTAGAAATCATAAGAGTTCTGTGAAGCCTACTAATTCATCCCTTTTTTTTGTGGATGGTGTTGTTTAATTATACTCACCTCTGAACTTCAGAAATACAATAGATGATGCCAGAAGCATTGCAGTGGTTTTATAGCTATTTTTATGTAGGTATAATAGAAAGTATGTTTTACATGTGATAGGCATGATTATATAAGGTTACCCCAAAAAAAAAAAAAAAAGAGCTTATCTTGCCAATCAAATTCCTTCTTTAGAATCTTTGGGAATAGTGATTTCCACCTTAGTAAATACAGAGGAGCCCTTTTGTCCTAAGTGTATTTTGGATATTCAGTTACTTGGACATGTTTGGAAGCTTTTGTTTTTTCCTCACTGCAGTTGGCTTTGATACATTTGAGGATTTATATGTTTTTACTTTAAACTTGAATAAATTATACTTAAGTGTTGCTGTTTGATTAGAAGATCATATTCATTTTAAAGACAGCGTCCCATATTTCCCCACTGTGGTTCCATATTTTGAGAAGTATGTCAGTGCCTAAATAATTCAAAATAATTGGTGTTCTTTGGTTAAAGCAAGGACTGTGAAGGGCTTGTTAAAGCTCTTCAACAGGAAGATGGACTAGATGTGAAATCACTAAACAGAATATTCAGATAAGATGGAATTACTGTTTGCAAATACTGTCTTTCCAGTTGTATATGTATCCACAACAATCCAGACTCAACTACTTTTGCAATCCTGCTTGCTACTCCTGGTACTTGGAATACCTACTGTTGCCTCATGGTCATGTATATGCAGGTAGTCCTTGACCTATGACCATTCTGTCAGTGACCGTTCCAAATAACAATGACGCTGAACTAACGGTGGTTACAACCGGTCCTCGGAGTTCCAGCTGTCCCAACACACCTGCAGTCACATTATCATGATCTGAGTGCTTGGCAACCCGCTCTCACTTACAATTGGTTGCCAAGTGCCCATGATCATGTGATCTTCATTTGCAACCTTCCTTGCCGGCTTCCCCATAAAGTCAACAGGGAAGCTGGCAGGGAAGGTTGCAAGTCGCTGGGGTAAGTCTTCCCCACCTGTGCACCCTCCCCCAGCCCCCCTGTACTTGCACCACACCGGCCACTCATGCACCCCCATGCACCCTCCCTGACCCACGCCACATCCCTGCGCACCCTCCCTAACCCTCGCGGTGCCTCTCATGCATCTTCCCACACCCTCCCCGACCCGCACATGCTCCCCAACCCATGCAGCATTTCTCATGTACCCCCGCACACCTGACCTACACTGTGCTTCATGCACCCTTGCACACCTTCCCCAAGCCACACCGCGCCTCTCCCTCACACCCTCACACAACTGACTTTGGTTGTGGGAAGCCAGCAGAAAGTTGCCTCCCCTAATGACTGTGGGATTCAGTTAACAAAGGCAACGGGGACTGCAGGGATTGCTGTTGCTAAGCAGTGTGGTCACGCTTTACGACCACATCGCTTAGCAAAAGAAATTCCAGTCCCAATTGCTGTTGTAAGTTGACGACTACCTGTAAGTTACCATGACATAAAATCCTATAAAATTTGGGAGCTTTCTCTTACTTAGTAATCTGTTACTACTGCTTTGGCAGATGTCCTCACTTTGGTTGTTCTCCTCACTTGGTTGCCATCAAGTACTTATGACAACTGTCCTGCATCTTCCAAATATTCAGCTAGTGATGGCTCATACTTGTGGTATGGCTTTCCATTCATGTTTCTGGTACACCTAAAATCTCAACCTATTGTTGCAAGCTGCTGTGCTACTCCAGATTTCACTGAATTTCCCAAGTTGGTGCCTTATAAAATACCATGCTCACATTACTACTTCCTGAGGTCTCTTTCCTTTTTGGCTGGTTTTTATTTAAGTTATACCAAGATGTCCTTTTGGGGCCAAGGTCACAGAAGAAAACTTTTGGCATGTAAAAGGAAAATATAGATAGTGGTAACATTTTCACCATATCCCAAACTTTTGGATAGTTGTCCTCTTTTGGTATTCTGTCACATATCAGTATTGGAAAGCAATTTATATCAACATATCTATATAAATTTGTTGAATACATACATACATACATACATACATACATACATACATACATACCCAAGGGACTTATACAATTCAGTTGGACCAGAGCAGCAACATTTTATTTGTTTTGTCTGAGGAAGTGTCATTCTGTTTTAAAACCTTGCATTTCAGGTTAGTCAGAATCCCTCAACCCTTTTTCATAGTGCATGGGAGTCATGGTTACATGTCTTTGCCGAAGGAGCATCTATGTTCTTTTATATCGGGAGTGGGCAGCAGAAAGGATTGCATTGTTACCTGGGAAAATGATTGGATCCAAAGCAATTAATTTTCTTTCTTTTTTCTCCTCTCATTTTTCAACGTTGCAATCTATGCAGTGTTTCTCCATTTCTGATTTAGGATAATTTTCAACTTTTTTGTAGTAGTTTAGGACTGAATACAGTCAAAGTCAAACTGGATTCTTACAATATAAAATGTAGAGAGTTTGTAGAGGCATTTGTTATAGGGGAGCCTGGAAAGAAATATGTATAAAAGGGTTAAGGCTGGCTTCTCAGAAATAGCACATTATTTTTTCTAGACTGCACCACGTCTAACTACAGCTGAGGAGTTCTTACTATTGAGGAGTTCTTACCACTTAGAAAATTAAATATTTAGGAAATATTTAAGACAGACTACATATGCCAGAAGTTAGAACCTTCATTCCTGGTACTGGTTTTATAACAGAAGTATAGAAACTGCATAGACATTTGTGAATTCCTAACTGCAATGAAGTAGTACAATTTGTATTTTTTGTGCATTGCCCAGAATCACTGCTGTGAGGTGGGCAGCTATATAAATGGTTTAAATAAATAAATAACCAACCAACCAACCAACCAACCAACCAACCAACCAACCAACCAACCAGGAGTTCTTTCCAGTGTGGAAGACTATCACTGCGAATAATGTTTTCTTCACCTTTGTATTACATACAGTAGATTGACAAACAAAAAGTAGTTCAACCCTATTCTTTCCGTACCTTTTCAAGGCTTTTGAGAACGTATTTTGTGCCTGATATATGAATTTTGTGTAGTATTGAATAGGTTTCTTTTATTTTAAATGATGTGGATACACATCTATTCTTCAAATGCTTGTAATAGTTTTACTTGATGAGATTTAATAAGCTTAAATATTTATATTTAACTTGGGTCACTTGAAACCAGATTAGAACTTGTTACTAATTCCTTAACAAAATGATATTCAGACAGGTTTCTTATCAATAATCAAGTCTCTTTGTATGATCATTGCCTGTATGCTCAAAGCTTAAATGGTCAAAGAGTTGGAGAAGAGGATTAGGGACTAGACTTCTAAAGTATGTTTTAAATGTAGTTTGCTTTTGTTTTTTTTATGGATTTTTATTAAAAGTTTTGAAGAGAACATAAAAACTAATGAAGGAAGGAAGGAAGAGCAGAAGTACAAAAAGTATAAAAAGAAATAGAAAGAAGCTTCTGATTTCCTTTGCAGCAAATATGATTACAAAGTTATCTGTTACTCTATGATTTTAAAAAAAGCTCCTTTTTTCTATTATCCAACTTTTTTTCTAATCATTAAAACCACAAGTCATAAGTGCATTTTTTCTGTTTCATGCAAAAATTCTATAAGGGGTTTCCAGTCACCCATAAATTTAGATATTATCTTTTCTCTAATCAGGGAATTTAATTTAATTTAATTTTACTGGCTTAGTGAAAATTTATACCCAAGCACTTTTGTCAAAATTTAAAATGATAAAAATAGAAAAATGGGACTGTCCCCTCGTCTGTTTTAAACCTTTCTTACATCTCCTCTTAATTCAGCTCTTGAATTAAGTTCTTGAATCTTTAAATCAAAGTCTCTCTTTTCTTTTTTCTTTTTGTAATCTCGAAAGAAGTTTTAACTCACTGCAGGGAATCTTATCTTTGCTGCAGCGGAAATCTCTCTTCATCTGTAATTACTTACTTCCCAAAGTGATTAAGAAATGGAGAAAGTAGGGCTTTAATGTCTGTATCAGTTCCACCACAGTTAGGAGTGTAGATGGAATCCCAGGATTCCCAGCAGCTCAACTCAAAAACTTTTCAGTTTCTGCAGTTTACTCAGAAGGAAATGCTGCCCAGAGCACACATGTTTTATTTGATCCAAGGAGATTATACCGGCCAGAATCTGCCTCCCTGCCGGCATTCTCAGCTGCAGTGGCTCTCAGTTCACCATAATTCCCCACCAGAAGCCCACTTTAAATATGGTTTTGTGATAACTAGGAATGTGCACAATGTCGAAATTTTTTTTGAAAAAAAAACCTGGTTTGTAAAAAAACAAAAATAAAAAACAAACACCCCCTGCCCCCCGTAACCCAGAATGTTTGTGTTGTTCCAGGTTTTAATCAAAGCAAAATCTTAGAATGATTTTCCAGGGCAAGTAGGCAAGTCTGGAGCATGTCATTTTCTCTGTCCATTCTTCCCCTCAGCAGCTTCCAGTGTGGCATAACCCAATGACTTTCCTGCCCCTTAGTTTCCTAATACCTTCCCTTCCCTCCTTCCCTCAGCTGCTGCCACTCACATCTGTGGCTTTTT